AGGGAGGCTCAGCCTGAAAGGTGAACACAAAAGGGTTGGACACGAGTCGTAGCCGGAATATGAATGGATAGTGGAAATCTGTCATTGCGTCTGTGAAAGGACCTAAAACATCTGATGGGAGTGAAAATAGGCGAGAAAATTTACTGGTTAAGTGATTCATTCATATTTAAAAGACAGGGCATTTACAACAGTTAAAAGGAATACAGTGTTATAAACTAAGCATGTGAAGAGGGAACAATTTGTCAATAAAAACGAAGGGTCTATAAAAGGGTAACGGGTTAGACGTAGGGGTGGAACCTCCCCTCATCCAATCCCCGTAAAAAGGCAGAGGGGGGCAGTTAGACCCATTACTTGTAGTCTCACCACCTTGCGGTGGTATGTTTTTCACCATTTCCTCGGAGAGTCACTAGCTGTGGTTATGAATGAGATGTTTTTAAAGAAATTCAGTAGATTTACATACCCGTCTGATGTATGCATGCATTCAGACATTAAATCGAATCTAGGATCATCATTATAAGTTGGACAAACTCAAAGTAGGTTCTTATAACTAATTAATCTATAAAACTCTCTTCTGCGCTTACAAAGCCACTCATTGTTTAGAATGAACAGCTCCTAGCTAGTCAGCAGTTCAAAGTTTTCATCATCACACGACGGGGCTGTAAAAGTACACTTAAATGGACAATATTCTTGAGGGTTTAAAAAGCCTACTCCTTAACATTTGAGATCGACAATTTTTTAAATCAAGTATGATATATAATTAAAGCTTTGTTGCATCGATTTAAACATAGGACTATTCTCTAAAAAGGGATCAGTCATGGGTGAGCCATATTGCTCTGGTGTATTCTACCATATTTCTCGATAAATCCTAGCGTCTGTAACAGTTACAGCTCAACTCGAAGGGCCAATAATTTCAAAATAAATCAACTGATCATGTGAAAATTATAACTGCAAATGACGTAATAGCACAAAAAAATCATGACTTTTAGAGCGGGAAGTTTTATCGCGGTATGACGGCAAAACAGAGTCTCTTAGAGTGTCAGACGAAGTTCTTGTATTGTTCTCAATATCAAGTCCTTAAGGTCGTGATATGATGAGTTAATTTACGTCTGGCACGTTTCAGGAAAAATTGATACAGAAAAATAGAAAGTGTCTTCAAATTTAACACAATTACCTACAAAAACATATTTTTAGTGTTTTGTTGTATGAGAAGAGCTTTTAAGCTCATTTAAGCAAAAGAAAAATGTGGACAAATGAAATGTGAGTCAATGAATAGTCTAGAAAATCCTTGACTAAATTAAATATTTCACCTTGGGAAATTTCCTTTTCTTTTCAAAGAGGAAAGAAGAAAAAGAAACGCTATAAATGGTATTGGAAGCATGCACCTGAATTTTTTATCTGATTCTAAGCTTGCTTCAACACTAGTTTTCTTACATAACACGTCTAATTACGTTCACTCAGTCTCATGCCAGAAATCAGCCACATTGCGAATATTTCCACAGTACATTTAAATCTCCGCGCTAGTCTACTTTCAACCCTCGCCGGTTGCGATTTTCGAGCACGCTTGCGTGTTTCGCTTGCTTTACTATCCCTGATAAATAGTAATAAGGGACTACTCGTTATCTAGAAATCATCTCGAGAAGCAGAGCCTGGGCTAGGGACTTTTACCGGGGAAAACAGTTTATTGGTGATATACACACAACGGGTCAGCGAACGAGGCGCTACAATTCGAAACATCAGCATTAATTAACTTGGCTTTGTTATGATGCGTATGTGGCGAAGTTTCTCAAACTCACTTAATAAAAATACCATAAACCCACAATTTCTACGGCCACGTTTGATTTTGAAAGCGCTGCAGCCCCGAAAAAAGTTGTTGGCAGTCACGTGGTCGCTAAGGCAAGCAAGCTATTCGCTCGGAGCTCAATTCGGCTCTCCCCGTTTCTTTCGATAGATTAAAAGAGCTAAATCCTCGATATCGTTTGCTGAATAAGCCATATGGAACGATCCCGAGATTGTACATACTTGCTTAAGTTTAATCAAAATATCAAAAGTATTTTACGTGTGAAGAGCAAAAAATTCCGGTTCACAACACTCTGAATGTGGTATTCGCGCAGCTGAGAAAGATCCACACTGGAAACATCTATTAATATTTCGACACACTTCAACTAAGAACTATATCTGGCTTTAAAAGAAAGCAACATAGTGATATTCAATAAGGCCATGCGCTGTCGGTTTCTAATAACAAAAAAGAACGTGATATTTATGGCAAATCCTTACAGTCTGACCTGACTTGTTTGCTACCTGCCTTCCGTAACAGTAATTATACGGCATTATATTAAGCCAGTTCTGTTTTAGAAGCTGGTGGGTTTAAATTAAAGCTATCCAACCTTACTCTGGAGTTCGTGTCTTTCTATGCAAAACTGGATTTAGCTGTGTCACGATTTTTTTTGGTATTACTTTAATATCCTAAAATGCACATTCGAAGGACAGAGAAAACCCTGAAATAATGGTTCAGTTTCATGTAAAATTACTCTACTACTACATGTATACCTCAACTTAAATTTGTATAATTTTCGCTTTAGATGGCGGCCAATGGGGACAGAAACGGGTTGTAACTTGAAAACATTGGGCCAATCTTTTCAATTGATTCCTGTCTCAGTGTCCAGAAATGACCGAAAAATGATCGTGCTTTACTGTCCTTTGACAAATTAATTTGATATCTCTAATTTAGAGTTCCAAGTATGGATAAAAAGTGATTGAAAATACGTCGTTTTAATTTCAGCTCCTCTTTAATTTTGACTAAATAATGTGCAACTAATAGCATGACATAGGCCCCTTTGAATGCACATTCATCCAAGAATGTTGACGTAAAAAGTCGCGATATCGACCGATTTAACCTAGACAAAAAATAGAACACAAAGAAGGAAAAATATCTATATCCTAAGTCATATGTTTCTTATTTTTAACCTCTTCAAAAAAGTGCTTTTAAAACTCCCAAACTAATTTATTTATCACACAGTTAGGCAACAAAAGAATGTCGCGCTATGATCCGGCTAAAGAGTTATACCTCTCTGATCCCGCCCAGAACGTGCGGTCATTGAACTGTACATAACTTAGCGCAATGGTCTCTAAACGTGACTTGTAATCTGGTATCCTCAACCACCAAAAATGTGGAAAGAACATTGTTTGTTATTTTTCTTCTTTTGTATTACTAAACACAGAGCACGTATATATATGTTTAGCTTGATTGCATCAGACACGTGCCCGACAACAACTCCGTCAGATATACATATAAAAAAATATATGTAAATATTTTCGTATACTACCAATTTTAACGACAGTTGGCTACATGGATATACGGTGACGTTGCCTTCCTACGTGTGTCTCTTTTTCACTTTTTTGAGAACGTGAACATGTATATATTGTGACTGTCTTTGAGGCTACGTGGCTCTATGCGGCTAAGTACGGTACTCTTGGCTACACGGCTAAGTAGCTCCGTAGCCACGAAGCCACAGAATCACGAATCAGTAAAGCCGTTTAGCCGAATAGCCACGTAGCGGTGTTTTTACAAGAGCAGTCAGGGGACATGTTTGGACGGTAGCCATTCGACGGAATTTAGATCATATCGTTATTTGAACCAAATAAAATCATGTGTATCTCTAATGATTAAATGAATGACATGCATAGAACCAAAAACTTGCTGGCCAAACTAGAAGAGTATTGAACAAAGTGAAAAGTTTAAAAAGCTGTTAAGTCGGAAAGTTGAAACGAGGTTTGGAATGTAACGAGTGGAAACTTTAAGTACGCAGAGACACAGCCAACTGACTGACTGATAATTTGTTCATCGACAATAAACAAACAAAAAGAAAAAACTCCAACAAAAACACTAACAAAACACATAAACACCAAAAAATCGGAAAAAGTTTGGTTGCAAAATTGCTCCGAACTTATTCTCTCAGTCGGGAAAGGGTGGATGTGGATAGCGGCGAGATTGCAGAATTTTCTTTAAATTTTGCTGTTGATCCAAGAAGGTAATAGCCTACGTGAGCACCCGTGACCATTCCTACACGCTCTAGTTTTGATGCTTGTCCAGGGCAAGGTTCCTCCCAGCAAAATGCATGTCGCCATTACCAATTTTAAATATACCGCGCAGTGGAATATAAATGTAGAGAGAGAGTCAGGAAGCAAAGTTTTCTTGTCTAAAGAAACAACGCGACGGCAAGGCTTGAAAAGGAACTCACAGAATTAAACTAACATATAGTTTATAATAGTCTTAATTCTAGCTTCTCAGTGCACAAATTCTTTCGGGTGAGTCTAAGCTGAACTCAGAAATGCACACTCAAAACATTTTGCACCCGCAATTCAGTGATTCTATACTTTCCGGGAAGAGAAAAGGTCGACCTTTTAGCTGAGTGGAAGGAACGGTGTAATATAATTTAACTGTGAAGCCTCTTTCATAGTTTATGACAGCCTATTCAAGAAGCTTGACTCTGAACAGCGTCATGTTCTTCCCGAAGAAAGATCTGGACTTGCTCCTGGGATCGAAATAAGAAAAATCAGACAAATAAGACAAATACGTTTCCTCACTATAGAGAGAGAGTTTTTGTGTACTCAGATGGTTTGCTGATACGACTGATTCGAGCGTTGCCACAAAACTAAAGCGCATTCTTCCTAAGAATCCCCGGGGGCGACACCCATATATCAGATATATACGGGGCCCGGGACGTGAGGGCTCCGAACATTAACAGGGAATGCGTTTTAATCGGGATGTAAAAATCACTATTTCTTCTTCTCCTAGACCTATTCTTTTACTATCCTACAGAAGAACAGATCATTATCCTGTCTGGAAGAAGGTCGCAAATTCATCTTTTTTCTTGTCAGGCCTAGTGTCTAGGAGAGCCCCTCAAGAATTCAACTTAAGTAAGGGACCGGAGTACCCCACGGGCCTACTACCCGGGCTAAGGTATTTGGGTCCAGATCACCTTTCCTTGGGATTTCGTGACGGTGACCTGCGAGAAAGACCGCGGACAGGAAGAAACAACAAGAGGCAACCAAGGTAGGGAAATTCATAAAAAGCGAGGAAAGCAGTGGCGCAACTTCTCGCTGCATGGTAAAATGCAAATCGCAAAAGCTGGTTTAAGTGTGGAAGCATTTCGGTGGCTACAAGGCATCTATAGATAATACAGACAATGAGACAAAGATGTTTTAAGATTTTGTAGCCGCATACGTCCCACCAACCCGCCAGCCCCTCAATTTAGGATCATAAAAAAGCACAGCTCCTAATATGATTATTTTAAAGTTAGGGTTAGTTAAGTTAGGGTTAACCAGCAGGTTAGATGGCCTCATCCTGCTTCGGTAACTTTAACGCTGTGCGCTGAGTAATGCGTTTTATTTAGAATAGCTTTATATCGAGTATTGAGATCAAACGCATCGAACCATACGATAAATGTCATATGTGATGTGGCTTCACACAGCTTTAAGTTTAAACAGTAACGACAAAAGACGATAGCAAATATTACGTGTTTTAGCCTTGCTTGTTCGAGCGCTATTCACTCAGTCACAGTTTGATTCATTGGAAAAGTAAAGCAAAAGCTATTTCGCCATCTTATTACGTAATCAAATGATTAGATGCGTTCGTTTGCACTGGTAACTGTAGAGCCAATATTTGCACAGTTTGCATATTATACTTTGTACATGTATTATCAAACCCTGAGTAAAGTCAGTTCGGGGTGGTGTCTGCACTAGGTTGACGTCATGTACTTGTTCACCATTCTATACAGTATTCAGTGGTTTTTTTTATGATTCAAATACAGTGGCGCGAACTCGATCAATATTTATTCAATATCGAATAATGCCACAATTGGAGCTAACGTCAGACGTGAGGAATGTATCTAGGGAAAATGACGATGACTGTGCATGGAAAGGGGGTACAAAATGGACCTCATGTGAGGGTCAACCTAAATGTTAAAAATGTCTCAGTCCCGGGGGGGCACTCCCTTCCCTTATATAACCTATACGGGGATGTGCCGCTGGACAGGGTATGGTTTTTTTACCTCTCTGTCCTAAACAGGGTATATAATTTCGTATGAGTCTGTCAACAGGATATTGCCTGCACTAATGTTTTTAGGCTTGATTTGATTTGCTAGATGAATTTTTATTTTACTCCGATCCAAGTGTACAAAAGCAATGACTTTATCGTGAATTTGCTCAATTGCAATTGCCAATAAATGGCTTTAAAACAAACAGGGTAATAAAATCGAGGGTATTGTCGTTAACAGGGTATCTATTTTAGGATTTTTTTGTCCTAACCAAGGTCAGGGTTTAAAACCCTCAGCGGCTCACCTATACCCAAATATTGGTGGAGTACCCCCCCGGAGTCTCAGTGTTAGATAAGTAGGCTAACCTTGTTTATAGGCCCATCTAGGAGTATCACGGTCTCATTACGCCCCCTACACCCATCCTCATCCACCTAAAATTAAAATTATACAGTTTTGAGTCCTAAGAGTTTTGAGTCCTATACCCCCTTCTTTTAGGTTGTCGGAGCCGTTATGTCTGACGGCACGAAATGAGTAAATTGCGGCTTTATTGTATAGAAACAACGGACTACATACAAACTCCCTCGATCACGTCATTGGTGGCAGGCTTTAACTCAATGTACCCTCCATCTCATCCATGTTTCATGCTCACTCAAAACCCCTTACGTATAATTCCAGGGTGGATCTAGTAGCAGCAGCCTGTAAAGCTGGCGTTGTGGGTGCTCGTGTCTCGTGCTTCGCGCTGGTTCCCTCTCACCAATATCGGGTGCCCTGCAGGCAAAATAGAAGCAACCACTTTAGCTTTATGGTTTGAACCCAGAAGCCACGTTACAAGGTGGAATATGGTCGTGGAATATATTTGGCTGGGTGGGTGCAGTCGTGAATGGGTGTTTTGGTAATAGTTACTGTCCTTTCGATAACCAGTTGTCCGGGACTGGATAGTGCGTTTGATTACGTAATTTAAGATTAGTTTATTGTAGTGGAAATACGTAGAATGCTAGATAATCAAATACTAATGCGTGACCAAGTTTAAAAAGTCAGATATAGTTTTCGATCGGCAAAGAGAGGAAACCGTTTAGGCCTTTGCGGGTGAGCTTTAACCTTCGACTTTCTGCAAATATTGGCTTCAGCGGTCGGAGGTTTGCAGCAAACTATAAGTCATCGGCTTTGTCATATCTTACGTCATGTTAATTTTGAGAAGGAACTAAAAGCATCTCAGTCGTGATATAGCCAATTACAGAGTTTCGCAGTCATGCACAGGAATAACAAAATATCTACAATTTAGCAGTTCACTGCACACTGTTCACTTTTTATCCTTTAAGCCCCAATATCCACATACAAATTCTGCAGACTGAACTCTATGTACATACCTTTTCTTTCAAGAATTAGTTGAGGGAATTTGATAAAATTTGATGCACAGGAATAACAAAATAGCTTCAATTTAGCAGTTCACTGCTTCTCATTATTAATCCTCTAAGCCTCATTATCCACATACAAATTCTCCAAACTGATCTCTATGCATTTCCTTAAGAAATTGGTTGATAGAATTTGATAAAAGATCAAAGATGTTTCTCTTTGTGATCACTTTATTAATTCTCTTTGCTCTTGACAATCTATGGATATCGTTTGGAGAAAATTGGTGTTGGTCACTATTAAGACTAGGGTTAAATACGTATGGCGATGTATGAATTCAGGGCCACCTTATTTCTCCCCATCAGCGCGCACTTCTTCCGTACTATCCGGCATGCGGTTACTTGCTAACAATTCTCACGCTCTAATATGACATCTTTTCACATTCCAGCACGAGACAAATCCGGATACAGAGATGCTGTTGGAGGCAGCTACCTTGATTATTTTTCTTGTTTTGGGCTGGCGTATATTTCTTGCACCATCACCAAAAAATCTGCCTCCTGGTCCCCGCCCTTATCCACTGATCGGTAATTTGACCCAGTTGGTGGGAAAACCGATTCACCTCGCCGTGACTGACCTTGCAAAGGAATATGGGAAAATCTTCACGCTGTATTTACCAGGTGGTCAGCGGTGTATTCTGATCAACTCGATTGGTGTGGTTCGCGAGGCTTTGCTGTCAAAGAAAGATGATTTCGCTGGGCGACCACGAGCTTTCATTGGTGATTATCTAACGCGAGATGCAAAAGACATCTTCTTTGCGGATCTATCCCCAACCATGATCCTCCAGCGAAAGCTTGTTCATTCCGCTCTGCGCATGTACGGAAGTGGACTAAAAAAGCTCGAAAAGGTTATTTACCAAGAAGTGGAACAACTTTCGAACCGCTTCTCCGCTCACCAGGGAACCTCTTTTGATCCAAATCATGACATAAGCCTTCTAGTCTTAAACGTAATATGTGCTGTTGTTTATGGGCAACGATATGAGCTTGAAGACGAGGAATTTCAACGGATCATAAAATATAACAATCACTTTGTTAAACTCTTTAAAGGTTTCAACATCCTAGAAATGCTTCCATGGTTGCGGCATTTTCCGATCGAACAAGCGAAGATTCTTCGCGAAGCGAGAGAATTAAGAGACCTTGTTCTTGACGCAAAGTACCACGAACACAAGACAAAATTTGACAACAGCATAAACAAGGAAGAAATAGAAATAAATGATCTAACTGATGCACTTTTGAACGCATTCTACGAAGCAAAAGGAGAAGATAACAAAGTTTCACAACTGCTGACCGAGGATCATCTAATTATGACCATGAATGACGTATTCAACGCTGGTATTCAGTCCACGATAGCGACGTTGCTATGGATACTATCGTATATGGTCAATTACCCACACGTCCAAGCGCGCGTTCACTCTGAGTTAGATGACGTCATTGGCCGTGATCGCCAGCCTTGTCTGGAAGACCGAGGTGAGCTTCCTTATTTGGAATGCACCGTTGCTGAAGTGTTGCGCATCGCAACGACAACCCCGCTGTCCATCCCTCATAAAGCAACACGGGACAGTTCGTTGGCAGGATATGACATACCAAAGAATACCATGGTGATGACAAACTTATGGGCGCTCCATCACGACCCTCACGAATGGGATGAACCGGAAGTGTTTAGGCCGGAACGGTTTCTAGACGAAAAAGGAAATTTCTCCCCCTCAGGCCCCCAGGGGTTTCGTAGCTTCCTGCCCTTTAGTGCCGGTCGCCGGGTATGCCTAGGCGAGTCCCTCTCCAAAGCAGAGTTATTTCTAGTTTCCGCCAGGCTGCTTCATCAGTTTAAGTTTGAAAGAGCGCCAGGGAAATCACTACCAGATCTGACCGGCGAGGTGGGAGTCGTGTTAGTTCCTAGATCGTATGAACTTATTGTCAAGAACAGACTTTAATGAGCACTTATCATTGTAGTAGGTGTAGTATCTGTAGGAGGTGTAGTATCTGTAGTAGCTGCAAACCCATTTAATTTTTAACTATATCTCTAACTATAAGTCCTGAGTACGGACTGCTTAAGAAAACCTCGTTTCCAAACCGAATAGCTGGGAAGAAGGAAAGTGGTTAATGATAATCAAAGGTTAATGTCTAGATCAAGTAATTTAAAAGACTATTTCCTTTTTCAATTTTACCTTTACGCCAGTCGTACCTAATACAATCACTATCATCATGATTATTTTTTATACATCATTATTAACTCTATTTTGTTATCTTTCTTGTATTTTATATCGTTATATTCTCTTATGAAATATTTTATAACAATTTTATACGATCGCAACTCACGATAACATAGCGTATTATTATCGCAAGCTTAAATTTTAGTGAGATCAACATAGATATATGGCGTCGAATAAAATAATTCTCTGACGTTTTTTTACGCCTCTTGAAAATGTGGGTCTACAGTGGTTAAAGAAGAGCAGAAAAAAAATGAGGGTAAAAAGGGGGTAGGAATGAAATATCTGATAACAAATGGAGCTCGGAAAGAAATGTACAATCTGTGGACTGAATAGAAAAAGGAGGAAGTCTGGGATGGGATGAAAAGACTGACGTCACCTGGACTGATAAAGAACGGGATATGAAATACCAATAGAGTAAAAAGTGTGAAGAATCATTCGAGAATCGCTGAAAGATACCCCCAATCCCCTCCCTGTTCTCTAGCCTGCGAGCAAGCTCTCCATTTGGGGGAGTCGCGAGAAGTCACGCGAGAACAACACCAACACGCGAAAGGAGACGTGAGTGCGCGTTCTCTCGCAACTCGCCTAGGGCATAATTGGAGAGCTTGCTAGCAGGCTACCTGTTCTCTGACTAGAACCCTTGTCTCAACATTCGTCTGAGTACAAGCACAGTTGAGACTGCTTTTGTCCTTTTAGAACATTTTAACGTTTTTAAAAGTAAATTTAAGTAGATCAAATCATTTAAATTTAGTTAATCGGTACAACGCTACTCCAAACTATAAAACTGAAAAGAGGAAATGATAATCGCAAATTTCTCCGAGGCAACGTCAGCACCTACTGAATCTTCTTACACAGTGACAGATGTGAATAACGAAATCATTTTTTTTAAAAAATTAACACTTCCTCATACGTCGCAATGTAACTCAATGTCACGTCAAATTCATTGTAGACTGGGACATGAAAATAAACAGTAGATTGTCGGACATTTTGTCCCAAATATATTGTTTGATTTAGTCTGTCGTGAAAAAAATAGCTGTTTGATTTTTGACATGACTCTCGATGGAAAACAAGATAGATCAATTTTGATCCGTCTGGGCTTACTCGGCAGGGGAGGGTACGTACTTTTATGGACTTAACGTCGGACTCAGTAGACGGGGATCCTCCACCCCAAAGGGTTACCTTTTAAAAAAAAGAGACATGTAAATGAGTATAGGGATTTCACGAGTTGAGGCATAGAGAAGGGAACCTATAACTAATCATGGTCTTTTATTTCATATACACCCGCTAGATTTGAGTGCCCCACTTCAACCCCGGGCCAGTTGCTTACGAGTAAGTCCTACCGATTTTTGACTTACTAAAATAAGACAAATATGAGCTGATCAAAAGAGGCCCTTTAAATGCCCACAGCTCTAGTCACATGCTCGGGTCAAAAGCTGGTCACATACATCGGTCCGCTGAGAGGATAAATTTTGTGACGATACCAATAGAGAAATTACCGTATACTTTTTTGGTAAGAGTGGACGGTAAAATACGGTTACAGAGGAACCTCGATATAACGAACCTTTATATAACGAAGGCCTCGGTATATCAAACGATTTTCTTTTCCCAGTAATAGTAGAATACATGAAAAAGAACCTCGATGTAACGAAACCTTTGCCAGTCCCTTGGCCCTTCGTTATATTGAGGTGGACCACTGGCGGTTTAAGTTTTAACCAGAGTGAATGGCACGCTTAAGTTTTTCGATCTTTAGCAGTCCGTCCTAAATTACCTCAACTGGAAAGCGAACTCTTTATTTTCTTGCTAGCCTGTTCACAGAACCTCTATTTTCACTTCAAAGTCCGTCGAGTGCGCAGGGGTGGATAAAGAAGAAAATAGGTCTTTATTTTTCTTTCTCGCGCTTCGCGATCGTTATCGCGCTTTGGGCTCGCCGATTATCGAAAAGAACGAAAAGAAAAACAAAACGTCTGTTGATGCCTCAATTTGACGAGCTTCTTGCGTTAGTGTCCCAAGAGTTTTGACCAGGCAAGGGTTGTAGGTACTGTAATGTGTTTGCCGGATCAAATTTGAGGTACTTCAGTATCGACGGGTGCATGTGTGAAGTACTGCACCGCGAAATTATCTGAACCCTGGCTTGTAGTTTCTGGTATCAGCCTCTTTTGACAATATTTTAAAACTTTTCACCGTAAAAAAAGGAATTCATTAAGGTCTTCTTTTTTAATAGTTAGAGATCATTGTAAAATACTCAAACTATAAAACTAACACTCAGAACATCAGGTTCGTCTGAGACGTGAGGGATTCAAGAACAGCTGAAAATAAGCAATTGCGAGAATTCTTCTTTTTACAATAAGAAGCGTTGTCAGAGGTATCAAACAAACCTGTTACTTTTCACGATCAACATAAGAAAGACGATTTGTATCAAAGAAATTTTGTTTAGTATCCAGAGAAAATTTAAAGGCAAGAGGTCAAATTAAAATATATATAACATTGTTTCTGCCTGAAAGTTAAATTGAATAGAACTGATAGATATAATAATTGAAGACTAACGAAGTTTGCTTAATCGAGAGGTGGGTCTTTTGAAACATGACGAAAAGTAAATAGGGACTTAGTAACGCGGGAGTCTGGTCGAATGAAATAAAATTTATGTTATTGCACCTGCTGGGTGGAATTATCTCGTACAAAAAGTGATATCCAATGCAATGAAATAATGTCTCCTGAACAGAAAGAAAAACAAACAACAGAACCGACAAAATTTGAATTGAAGCTTTAAAAGGTTAAAGATAACAGAGGTTGTGACTGATACAGTCATTTAACCGCCGTACAGAAATTGAAAACTTCTGTGTGAAGGTAAACCAGAACACCGTGAGCTGCCGCGTATTATTGAGCATATATATCATATCTTCATAAGGGGTTTTAGAGGGGCACTTGCAGTAAAGGGAGTGCTTATATCCGAGCTGGGGGTTTATAATCGAAATAGAAAAAGCGATTCGGTTCCTAAAAAGCTATAGGAGTGCTGTCTAAGATAGGTTTTACATGTACTGGTTTACTGGGGGACGGGTTGTAATCGTAAGGAGTTTCTTTCTTTACAGGTAAATGCGCCTATAACTTGGGTGGGGTGTGGGAGTTAGTGGTTTGTAGGTGTGAGTGTGTGGCGGGGGAAGGGGGGTTATGAGTGCAATTTTGCCGCAATCAGAAATCATTTTACGTTAATTTTGTAAATAATCCAGTTGCTTCATGGTGAGACATGCTCCTTTTTCTAATCAGCAAATCTCATCACAGGAAGGAAACATTATGTATCGGCTTTTTGCGCTGGTAATGCTGGCAGCAGTAAAATGTTTAACCGCTGAACCCACTATCCGTGGTACTGCAGACCTGGACCCACATTCATGGACCTTGCCAGATGGAACCGAGGCCTTCAAGATTACAATTACCATCAAAATGCAGTACTTTGTCCCAAACGGCTGGAGGATGGCCTTAATTTTCACTCAGCCAATCAAGAAGTTGGAAGTGTGGCGAGCAAAAGTCATAAAGATATCTGCAGATAAAAAGACGTACGCGCTAAAGAACATGAATTTTAATCCGAGTTTAAAAAGGGGAGACGAATTGAGGATGGCTTTGGTGGCTTACAAGGTCAAAAAGGGCATAAAACCAGGCAAAATCATTGTTCTTTTCCGGGGAGGAAACGTCATACCTGTCCTCCCTACCCTACCCCCGGTAAGTGAGATCTATTTTTGTGGGATCTAAGAATTTTATCAGGCTGACTCGAATCAAACTCGAGAGTAGTTTTAGATAACTACGGAGAACGAGTCACTTTCCAAGGCCTTCTTGGAAGAAAAGCTTTAAATAAAAAAAGACGACCAAGATGAATTACACTGAATATAAGTTTTAGTGTCTTAGTTTCGTTCTGTAAGCTTTTTGCTTGACAATTATATTTGGGAGACGTTTTACTGCCACTTAAACTGGCCATATGAAGTCAAATGAATCACGATAAAACTAAAAATGAAGGATAAACCATAACCAAAGGATGAATTAGAGGTATACGCGATGAAAATATACGGGAGAGGTGATTTTTAAAGTGGACCGAATGGCTAAAAGAATATCTTTTTCTTTCTTTTCTTTTTAACTTTTTTACCAGCCAACTCCATCAACTCCACCTCCTCCAATGATTAAGATGTATCAACTGAAACCACACGACGAGTCTGACTCAAGCTTCAAAATGAGCATCAAATATGAAGTGCAGGAAACCGTGAATAACTGGAGAATATCCCTCAAGTTCACCAAGAACGTTAGCACTGAACGTTTTAGAATGGTCAAGGCAATTATCTCCAATGTACAGAAACAACCGACTAGTGACACTTTTTGCCTTGCACCACAGCCTTACAATAAAAATTTAAGGGGCAAATCTCTTTTGCAGCTCGAGCTTCAGTGCGATAAAGCCAAATTGTACGAGGCTGCACCAAACGCGTTTTTTGTTTTTCACCCCGACGCCACGAAATGCGAAGATTTTGATCTCCCTGACAGCGTACCTGCGCCAGTGATGCCGCAAGAAAGCCCAGCGGTAGTTCTGACACAGCAGTGGCCGCCGAACAACTTTAAAATGAAGTTCGACGTTCAGGTCATCAATTCTGTCCGAGGGGGCTGGAAAATGATCTTAAAATTCACCAAACCTGTGGCACAAATCTCCAACCTGAATGCAGCGAAAGTCGCTGGCAAGTCTAAAGACCTAC